GGACACCGCAAAGGCAAATCAGAGTCTAAACTACCGCCCCCCCCCCCCCACCCGTACCCCGAAACACCATCTCTCTGCCTCTCCCTCTCTCTTCCTCAGCTGTCAGTCAGCAGAGGAGAGAGGGACGGGGAGAGACGGTGATGGAGAAAGGGAGAGTGAGGACAGTAGGGAGAGTGAGGAGAGTAGGGAGAGTGAGGAGAGTAGGGAGAGTGAGGAGAGTGGGGAGAGTAGGGAGAGTGAGGAGAGTAGGGAGAGGGAGAGTGAGGAGAGTAGGGAGAGTGAGGAGAGTAGGGAGAGGGAGAGTGAGAAGACTAGGGAGAGTGAGGAGAGTGAGGAGAGTAGGGAGAGTGAGGAGAGTAGGGAGAGTAGGGAGAGTGAGGAGAGTGAGGAGAGTAGGGAGAGTAGGGAGAGTGAGGAGAGTAGGGAGAGTGAGGAGAGTAGGGAGAGTAGGGAGAGGGAGAGTGAGGAGAGTAGGGAGAGTGAGGAGAGTAGGGAGGAGTGAGATGAGACAGAGGGAGTGTGTGATGAGACAGAGGGAGGAGTGAGATGAGACAGAGGGAGTGTGTGATGAGACAGAGGGAGGAGTGAGATGAGACAGAGGGAGTGTGTGATTTCAACCCCTACTTTAGTCCAAGCTCTGCTGTACTAACAAGGACATCACTTCTAACACTTTGTACAGCTAAGTATTCTTAAGTTACTTTAGGTCAGGCATACCCTTTAATAAAGCATATTCAAGGTGATCAAAAGTATATATTAAATTAAATATTCAAGTTGGAAAAAATATGTAAAATTATATTTGTAGCAAGCAAATTTTAAGCAATCTAAACACAGCTATTATAAGCACGTATATGATTTATTAATTTGTATTCATTGTTGGCTCCCTTTTAAAAAAGGCATTCATGTAGAACTCCTATGTTCCCTTGAAGGGTCCGAGTCAGCTGTCGATGATGAATAGAAGACTTTATAAAGTAACTGCACTCAGCCTCATCATGTAAATGAAGTTTGAAGCTTTGGGAAATATGTTCATTTGATTTCTTGCAGAGAGTTTAATCCACTAGAACAAAGATTAAAGTGATGAGAAGGTGCTCCACCTCTCTAATAAGGGACACACATCTAACTCTGGGTAAGAATGTGAATATCAAACCAACCTGATATTTTCCAAAATATCAAACTTTTCATTTAAGGTGAAAGAGTGTCTTCATCATTTGCAGATGAATAATCACAGTGTAGAGATGTTGGAGCTTCATCTCCTCCAACACTACACATGTAACAAACCTCCAGCATGCAACACACGCTGCACTTCTCACATTTACACTTTTAATTGTAGGAAAAAAATCTTTAAAAGTAAAATAATGATTGTAGAGTATGATCTCAAGAGAAGCTGTGACACATTACTGTAGGAGGTGTTTCATTTTCACATTTCAACAGGAAGTACAGCAGTGTAAGTAGCATCACTCATAACTTCTAACGACACTTTCATCACCATTATCAAACACATTTTAGCATTTTTAGCTGGTTTAATTGTTTTCTGTTTTTAATAAAGTTACCAGAATCTGAATCATAAATACTTCTGATTCACGTTGCAGTGAGTTGCTCCGACAGATAAGCACAAAGAAATAATAGATCAAAACAAAGGACTATGTAACATGTCAATTATACACGTAATGTGACAATATATGTAGAGAATATGAGTAAATAAGAAGTGATAAGTATAAGAAAAATGTGCATCAAACAAATGCAACTACGATGCAGAAAAGCAAACAAAAAGCTGATCCTTAAATGTTTGTTTTTCTTGAAGTACTCTTGAGTAGTACTGCAGTACGTAACTGTGTATGTTCTTGTAGGTCTGTGCATGTGTACTCTCTTCATTATCTGCAGTAGAATCAACGGTGTGGAGGACTGTACATCATCATGTTATGTGTAATTAACCAAATCAACTCCCATCAAAGTCTTAAGTCTGAAGAGAAGACAAAAGAAAAGCAAATGAAAGTGTGTGGTGTTTAAAGGCAGACATGGGAAGAGAAGCAGTCAGTATGACCAGACTGGAACACAAACAGACAGTAAAGAAACAGGGAATGCACTGCACAGTAATGTAAAACAGCAACAGACCCACAGAGACAAACAGCCATGCACACACACAGACAGACATCAACACAAACACACACAGTGCGCTGTCTATGGACCAGTATTTGTCACTTGCTATATATTTAGCTGGAAGCAAGTGGGAGGCTTCAAGTTGGCGGTGCTCAGGCTTTTCTAGCTGCGAGTGTTAGGCCAGCTAGTGTTCACTCCACTTTGTCAATCCCCTGTCAACTTGTAGCTCTGAGACATATCCTCTGCAACGCACAAGAGACAGGCCGCCCCCACCCCACCGCCCCCCCCCCCCTGCCTGCTGCCCACCTCCCAATACAGAGCCACCAGGAAATGGCCGCTACCGGCCCCCACGCCCCCGCCACCCCGTCTCCTGACAAAAGCCTGCTTGGCCTCTCCATCACTCCTCTGACAGCCGAGGGAAGACAGCTTGGCTGCATCTCTCCTCCCCGCTGCACACACATGTGGCCAGTGAAGATATTCGAGCCACAGAGCAGAGCGGAGGCGGATCAGGGTTCTTCTCCTGTGATCCAGCTCTGTAGCTCACCGTGCACTCACCTCTGTCCATAGTTCATCTTGTGGTTCTCAAAGTATAATAGAAACATGTCTTTGTTCCAATGTTTCCCTCCAGATGTTTTATTATAGGTATTCTGAATATGAATGGATCACATTCATCAGTCTGTTACTGATGCACCTTCTGCGCTCTTTATAGATCCAGATGTAAAAACTGGATTTAGTTCCAGTGTAGCTCTCTAAAGAAAGGCAACAGGCAGTTAAACACACTTCAAGGAGCCAGCTGGTAAACTATCCAATGCTGAGACCCTTTGACTTTATGAACCTGGTCACGCTGGGTGAGCTGCTGCACCAGGAAGGCCCACACTTTAATAACTTAGGAGCTACAAGATAAGTGTGTGTGTACATTTACACCTAAGTCTTCAGAGGGCTGCAGCTAGTGATTGTTTTAGTTATTAGTGATTCATCTGCAGAGCTCTTGTTTGTCACAGAAGACAAACGTTCTGTGTTCTATGAAGTAGTGGCATGTACAATGAATACTACAAACCAGCCGTCACTAACCCAAACATACGTTACCAATATATATCACAGAGAGAATAGAAAGTGCATGATTTCATTTTCAAAAAAGATGCAAATGACTTTTCTGTTACTTGACTGATTGATTGATTGAATGATAAATATCTGTGTATCTGACTGACAGAGGCAGAGGAGGAGACTTATGGCAGCTTGAGCATGAAAGGAATGCATCGACACGATAGCACACACTAGTCAAGCTTCGTCTTTCTTTAAATGACATCAGACAGATGTCAGAATATAGATCTTATAAATGTGATGCCCTCAGGTTGAGAGCACTAAGGCGTGCTGCTGACATGGAAGTACAAATACATTTCCTTTCATGACTGAGTGGCAACCAAGACTTTAGAGATGTTGCCGCCATAAAGCACTGAGCCGACTACATGTACTGTTCCATTCATTGTGCTTAGTTGTGAGAAGTGGACTGTGTTAGCTGTGCTTACCTGAACCAGCACAAAGAACCTTTTCTTCCATCTCTTCCACACATTCTTGCCAATGGTCCAGAGGTACCTGTCGGGTTTAAAGAAACTCTCATTTAGAAAAACACAAGTTTTACAGAGATTTCTCTCAATAAAGTGAGGCCTTTATGCAGCTGATGTAGAAGCGTGTTTGCTTGTGTCTGTACTGCAGGTCAGACCTAAGAGTGATTGTGTGGTGCATCACTGACCTCTGCTGGTTAAACGTCATTACTGCAACCAGACACATCAGTGATTCACCTCATTGTTGTGGTCTACCTCCACTGTTTGGTGTCTTTGCTGAGAGACCTCTCTTCAGATAGATACATGTCAAAGCAGGAGATGTACACATGATGGTCACAGTACTGTACCTAATGCAACTAACGATGCCACGATTCTGTTTAACTGAGTGTGGCACGAGGACATCTAGAGTGTTAATAGTTCATTGTATCAGTGGCACCTGTGTTAGACATCTAGAGAGGACTTTGGGCTGTTAAGATACCGACACTTCAGAGACATGAACTGGAGGGCAGGCTCTTAACTACAGATGAAGTTACAATCAAATGACAGCTCCGTCTCCTAAAATGTACGTTCCCACACAGCCTGAGTGTGAGTTATGTTTGAAGGGAAAGCTTTGTGTCGTGGATTACAGTCGCGTTTAACGAATCGCAAATAAGATTCAACTACATCTGCAGAAGTCATGAGGAGAGGTGTGGGGGGGAGACTGCTGCTTGTGTTCTGTGTATGTACTTATGTTGCCTCGACATAGTTCATAGTACTTTTGGTGCATTTTTGTTTTGTTTCAATTTTCAGCCAAACCATGAAGTTGTTTTAATAAACCTAACAAAGCACGTCTGTAGTGTTTTGTTTCAATTTACAATCTTAACCACGTGATGCGAGTAAAACCCTTGAGACATAATACAGAGTGCCAGTCTCTCATTATTTCAGAAACACAGCACAATGTGTCAGTCAGCATGCTCTCTCTCTACGCTGCCTTCTCTAAATGGAAGTGTGTATTCTGTAAGAAAGAGTCCTCTTTTAGATCTGACATGACAGCGTGATGGAGAGGGCTTTTGTTGTAAAAGAACATCTGAGGGTGAGGACCCCAGTTTGATCTGCCTCTGCTGCTCCCGGTCCAGCTGTGGGTCTCCCTGGTGAGCCCGACTTAGTGTGCCTTTCCCCCCGGTCCCGCCCAGAGCTGCTTCTGCCTGTCGCCCTAAATAAAGTGTTATCCAGGAGGTGACACATGAGGCCCCGCCTGTTGGCTGTGCAGAGTGAGGCCTGTAACACGTTACAGAGAGCCAGTGTGGGCATCTTACAGGGCAGCCCAGCAGCCTCCTCCAAGGCTCCCAAAAGAAAGCATATGGAGGGGAGGGAGGGAGAGGAGGCGGAGAAGCAGCTTTCAGCTACAGAGAGATGGGTGATGCTTTAAAGCAGGAAGTGTGTGTGTGCACCAGTGTGTAGAACTCTGCCTCATGACTCGAGTTGGCACTTTTTTCAAGTGCAGACTGCCACTGCAGGCCTACAGTCACTCTACTCACTCACGTGATGGATAGTCTGTCCAACACAACTGAAGGCCCAATCCCAATGTGCCCCTCACGGACTCACGGACCTTGAAGCGCGCTCCCGCAAACTCTGTGAGGGTTTAGGGCTGTCCCACTGTCACATCATCGAGTGTTTGAGGCTCTCTCTCAGACATATTCAGCCCTTTATGAACCCTTTCCGTAACTCAGCATGGTCTAAGGGAATTACCCACAATTCATTGCAATGTGACGTTAAACACGGGGTAACCAGTGGACGCATATGGAGACGTAAAAGAAGAGGACATTAAGGGTTAAAGATGGAACAAAAATCATGAAATCAGAAGATATTTATTCATCAAATATTTAATTTAGTTATTGAAGCTGTTTTGACAAAAACAAGTAAATAGATGATATAAAATGACCTCATCTAGTGAGGAAAGAGGCTGGAAGATGTACAATCAGGGAGTAAATAATATGAAATAAATACACACAATTCTTCATCATATTTATTGTCGTTGTCATGGTAACGTGATATGTTGCAGCAAAGTGCTGTCCCGTTCATATTTACACCATCTCAAGCCCTCACAGTCTCTCACAGCCAACCACTCACAGGTGACGTCAGTGAGTCCTCGAGGGTTCAGGGTTTGAGATTGTAGGGGGACACTGGGATTGGGCCAACAGGAGCAGGACCACACCTCAACCCGACCACTAAACTCATAAAGTCTGTAACTTGGCACACTTCTCCTAATAACTCCTTACAGTCTACTGCGCCACACCAGTCCAGCTGTTGGTGGTATTGAGTCCATACGCTGCTCTTAGGATCAGCTCACTGACATGAAGTTATAGTGTCTTACTATTACTATTATCATTCCTTTTTTTATACATTATTATTATCCTTATTATCATTTTGTATACTGAGTTTATTTTTTTACAACTGTTAAGACAGTTCTCTTTACTGACATGCAGCTCAGAACAATACAAAGGAGCCTTCTCTTTTGTTCCTTTGTTTTGACTTCTGACTTATGTCTCTTGTTCATCTGCACTGTCCCCTCCGCTGCTGTACTCCTGCAGATGTCCCCTCCGCTGCTGTACTCCTGCAGATGTCCCCCCGCTGCTGTAGTCCTGCAGATGTCCCCTCCGCTGCTGTAGTCCTGCAGATGTCCCCTCCGCTGCTGTAGTCCTGCAGATGTCCCCTCCGCTGCTGTACTCCTGCAGATGTCCCCTCCGCTGCTGTACTCCTGCAGATGTCCCCTCTGCTGCTGTAGTCCTGCAGATGTCCCCCCTGCTGCTGTACTCCTGCAGATGTCCCCTCTGCTGCTGTAGTTCTGCAGATGTCCCCGATGTGGGACTATGAGAGGACTATTTGATCTTTTCTTATTTCATGGCTTGTGCTGCCTCACAGTATATTTTCTTAACCAACCTGGACTCATCGGATTCAGGTTTCTTCTCTGGTGTGCACAACAAATACTGTATTTACTTTTGAGTACAATACAGTAATATGTTCACGTGATCGTCAGTTAAAGTCATTATGTCTCATACTGTACAGTATGTGAATATTGAGAATAAAGCCATTGCATGTGTGTTCATAGTCTACATTTACAGCATGCTGCAAATGAAACGGCCAAAGACATAATAGTGTTCTGTACTCAGCACATCAGTGTGCAGTCGGCATAAGGAAAGAGCAATATTTATTAGTGTCAAATACCACTGTAAGAAGGTTTGTGATACAAACTTATAAAAAATGTAAGTTGATTTGTATTTGAGGTTATTTTCTTTTCCTTCTTAGAGTTTCAACAGAGAGGGCCTAGTTTCAGATCATGTGTTCAGCTGTTGATGGATGGAGTGTAAATACAGAGTTTTGGTGAAGTGAGAAAAATGTTGATGAATATTGAAAGATGTTGTCATTGAATGTATTTTGTGTCAAAGCAGTGAAGAGCGATCCACAGTTTAGTCCGCACGACGCACACATACAAACACACAGCATTGTTCTGAGCATTGTTCCTTCCCTAACAAAGATCCTAACATCGCCCGAAGAGAAAGCACAGAATGAATGAGTGGTCGACCCATTGTCTCTCTGCACAGCTGAAGTACTCTGAGCTGAAACATAGACGTGAGAGTAGAGTCTTTACAGCTGTAGATATGTACCAATACCGCATGTCATAAGTCTTCTGTTGCATTTCACTTCCTTTCAGTACACTGGCTACATACTCATCACAGTCAACATGCTGTCCTCTCCTCTCTGTCGTTGTGGGTGAAGGCTGCAAAGTGCAGATTCATTTGAAATGTCAGTTGATAAAATCTAAGACATGCTACGTAAAAAAATGACTAAAACACATCAATTATTAATGATGTCAAATGCACCAGTGATTTTCCTCCCATGACATGTCAATGACTGCCATGAAACGGGTCCACTGCAGTTACAGCAGTGGTGGGCCGTCAGGGCCAGCAAGGCCTTCTCTGCTGGCCTAAACAGAATCACAAAGTTATATCTATTTTATAATTTAATCATTTTTCTTAAATACACTACATGTATTATAATTTATATAAATATTTTCCCATTCCCATGTTGGGCGTATTCTTTGACGTGTCAGAGCCTGCTCGCCGGCGTATAATGACGTCAGCATTAGTGCAGCTCAGTGTCTGCCGCGATGTGCTTAGTGTACTGTGATTGGTCAGTGGGCGAGCACGTGACTATCGTGAACCGAAGCTTAACAGCAGAGGCATGTCGGGTAGTGAATCACGTGATGCACCTCAGCCAATCAAATATGGGCATTCTGACTGAGTGAGATGTACCATGACACAGGGGGCTGAGACGAGGAAAGACACTGCAGAGCAGTACGTACAAAGCTCAAGTTATGAAAGTAAAATCATAAAACGATCTCTTTGGGCCGCGACTTGTCATTAAGGAGTGATGGTAGGTCCCACAGCCAGACCAGCTGAGAACCACTGTCCTCCATGAGTGATGGTAGGTCCCACAGCCAGACCAGCTGAGAACCACTGTCCTCCATGAGTGATGGTAGGTCCCACAGCCAGACCAGCTGAGTACCACTGTCCTCCATGAGTGATGGTAGGTGCCACAGCCAGACCAGCTGAGAACCACTGTCCTCCATGAGCGCAGAAAACATTATATTTTCCTGAATATAAGCTTCTGCATTTTCCAGATGCTCTAGTACTATTCAAACGTATTGCAAGTCTCGTACCGAACGTTACGTACATAGTTACAGCCTTAGAAACTGATAATATCTGTGGCGCCATCATGTGGTTATAAGGTGCTATTTCAGCTGCAGGACAACAGTGAAGGCCCAGGTATAAAATGCACGGCCCGCCACTGAGTTACAGTGTGCATTGTAGGCAGTTAACTGAAGATCTGATCACATGGGGTCCATGGCCCAGTTTACTGCTCTGCTGTTGATCAACCACTCTAACATGTTGCAGAAGCCTTATCCTCAGAAAAGTGGACATGTCTCAAACTTTACTGCAGTGGAAAATGAAGCGTGTGTAGTAGCATTTCATATCTCAATAATGCACATTACTAACTTAGCTTCTTCCCCAGAGTCTCTGGACTTTCTCTCCTCACAGGTTCCGTGGATCGTGGTTGTATCTGGACCCTGGTCCTTCCTCCTGCCGTCCTGCCTGACGCCCACTGCTACTATCATTATTATTATGTATTAGTAGTCGCATTTTTTTTACTATTACTGATACCATTCCTTATTGTATTATCATTATTCTACCATATCCACTGCTGCTGTTATTACTAGTAGTCATCATTTTTCCAGCATTATTCTGCTCACTACTCTCATGATATGAATCATTTCTGTCATATGCACTCACTGTGTTGTGACTCTGTTATGTTGTTCATTGTGTACACATGACATCTGTCACACCTCATTCTGCTAGAGGACCCTCCTCTGCTGCTCTCTGAGCTTTCTTCCCTTTGTTTCTCCGTTAAAGGTTTTCTGGGAGTTCTTCCTGTTCTGATGTGAGGGTCAAAGGTCAGAGGACGTATGTGTACAGATTGTAAAGCCCTCTGAGGAGAATTTGTGAATAAAAAAAATAAAATGAAACAATAAATAAAGCAGCTACCTGCCGGACAAATGAGCAGATGCTTTTATCCAAAGCAACTTACAATTCAGATTCTATCACATTCACACACTGTAGGCACGGCTGCAGGAGACATTTTGGGGTTAAGTGTCTTGCTCAAGGACACATCGACATGCGACTAGCGGAGCCAGAGCCGGGGATTGAACCACCAAACATCTGATTGAAGGACGGCCCTGCTCTCCACTTAGCCACAGTCACCGCAGGGCGAGAAGACCATTCTCAGCTCAGTGCCAAAGCAGACGGAAAAAATCTATTGAATTGAATTAACAACTGAAAACCACAAGAGGAAGGCAAAGCTCCTCCAGTAAAACTATGACATTGTGCACATATAAAAATAGATAGTCATAGTGTAGTGCAGAGCAGATAAGAGAGAGTTTGTGTTGACAGCCTGTCTGACATACCTCAAGATAAAGGCCTCGATGCCTGATGTTGGATCTGTCCTCACGGGACCCTCTTGACCCCTGAGTTACGCATATAATAACACCAATGCTGCAGAGCCAGCATGTTTTAACATCTCGCTCTGTCAACTAAGTTTTTATTTGGACCAAACCAGAGTTGTTGAATGCTGCAACTGTGGAAAGACTAACCAAGATGAGGAAGGTATGTTTGATTTAGTTTCTGTCCAGTTAGCATGGCGTGTGTTTTATGATGAGCTACCGAGCCAGTTGAGCCCATCTGGTTTGAAAGAGAAACTTGAATTCAGAAGGTGTGTTTTTCTGTTTAGCTGTCGGAATATTTCCTTCATTGACATTTTGTGAGTTTACGTTGTTTATTTATCAGACTAAGAGAGAGCTTGTGTAACGTACCAAACTCACAGCTCAAGCAATGCATCCTGGTACATGTAGTACATGTAGTACATGTACTACATGTACTACATGTTCTCGGTAAAGGTAGCAGCAATCTATTTCTTCACTGGACTACATTTGCAATCAGCACTGATAGGACGCCCACATAAAAGAAGGCACATTTTCCATTTTCCTTTACCATCCAACTTGCCTCTGAAGAGATGCGTTTTGATACAACACCAAGCTGTATCAGCATCTCTCGGTCTCTTCTTATCAACACACATCGGCTTCATCCAAACAACATAAGTATTGTATTGTAATGCCACGGCATGATGATCCCTGAATGTTGAAGTCTTGCTGCAGTAAGATAGATGACCTCCAATGTTTGTAAAGGAGCAGCAGACGTCTCTGAGAGCGTTCTAGCTCCGTCCCTGTTTTGGTAAAAACCTGCTTCAAATAGTTCATCCAGCTGAGAGTAGTGTACTGAGCCATGATGCCACAATAACTGACAATCTGAGAAATCAGCATCTCATCTCAAAGTCACTGCTGCTACAAGCATGCAGAATGTCACTGTCACTTACCCACAATGCTTCATGTTCTGTGGTTTGTCCATGCGAATGGCCAGTTTGATCCTGAGGTCATTGTCTGGACAGCCTTTGGACACCGTCATCTTGTGGAGCTCAGACTGCTTGGGACTGTTGGGAGTCGGGTGGAGCACAACCTGGGAACAGTCACATCATAACATTGTGTGTGCACGCTATGCACTATTTAGAATACCAAGGTAGCTCGTCGGTTGTCTCCTACCTTCCCTAGCTCCTTATCTTCCAGAGCCAACACTCCTGTGCTCTCAGTGAACAGCTTCACCTTCACAGCAGGGAGCGGCTGGGTGGTGGTGAAGTCACCCTGGGTACCCCAACTACACACACACACACACACACACACACACACACACACACACACCCAGGGACAAACACAAGACAGCAAGCACCATGTTAGCGATCATGATGTCTCTTTATTACCCGTCCATGTTCTGCAGCAGCCAGGCTTCAAGTCAAACATTCTACTTAAACATCAGTGGTGTTAAGGCTTTTCTAAAGCAGCCGTTCCCAAACACTGGCTCGGGACCCACAGGGGGTCTCAGGAGATTCTATTAGGGTCGCCAATTCAATTTGCAGAATATCTTCCCGAGTCTCATATTTAACATTTCTATCTGCAGTACATCTTCGAGCCACTGAATGTTCATATTGTACTGATAATTGTAGTCTACTTATGAAAATGAATCTGATATGAAAGACTAGCGTACATTCTGTTTGTTCTAATAAGGGAATCTGTTAACTTGTTAACTCTGCGTTAAAGCATTTATTTGGTCTCATTTTAAACATGTTCATACATTTTCAATTATTCATGCATGAAACAAAGTTGTGAGTTATCGAAGGTATGTCTCATTTAAATGGCTGTTTACCGCTTCAAGATCAGTTGAAAAGTTTTTAAAAAACTGTGTTCTCTGAATAACATGTTTGAAACATTGTTCTCCAGGATAGAGTGAGTGGGTTTAGACTAAACTGCAGCTCAGCTAAAGACACAAACAACAACCCCTGTGTTCTTATGGAGGTTTGACCCAATACACCTTCTGCATATCTACCACATTTAATCAAAACAATGTCAGTCTGATATTTCTCCAATAGTTGTGATCTGTGTATAGAGCCTGAAATGGGTGTAACAGCTTGACCCTATTCTCGCTTGGCTAGAGCGATCTCCGCAGTGCTGTGCAGGTCTGTGTCCACACATTATCATCTGCTGTTTTGATGTTAGTACAGACACTTTTTTGAGGACCAATTTATAGCTTATGAGGTTAAAGGGATCTCGATTGTTGAAATGATGTATCTATTTTTGAGTGTTCCATCGCAGAACTAATGTTAGTTTAGGCACATTCAATTTAAATAATGAATGGCCTGGAAGACAAGACCAGTGTTAGAAGGACAAAAACTGCACATAAGTATGCTATGCTTTCTATGTATCTGCACTAACTCAAAGCAGCACATCATAACAAGAAAGAACACAACTAATACATTGCTCCCATAGACTATAGACTGCTTTGTGGACGATGGTTTTGAAGCCTCGAGTTTGCCATTTTGGCCGTCACTATCTTGTTTTTTTTGCAACCACAACGCGGAATAAAACATTTAGAGGCAACCAAAATGTTACAATTAACTTTCATGAACTGAAAACAAAATGTGAAAGAGTTATAGACCAAAACACAGACAATGCCCAGACCAAACAACGCTGTGATAGAGACCTGTCAGTCACCATGTAGCCCCGCCCTAAAGCTTTATGGTCTGTTTGACTCTAAATGGACCATAATGTACTAAATGAACATCATGCTGTATTGAAGAAGACTTGAAACTAGAGATTGAGACCATAAACTCATGTTTACAATGTTTACTGAGGTAATAAATCAAGAGAGAAGAAGAGTCATTTTCTCATAGACTTCTATACAACCAGAGGAGTCGCCCCCTGCTGGACACTAGAGAGAATGCACGTTTAAGGCACTTTCACATTGGCTCCACTTTTCAAACCCGGAGATTGCCACCTGATTGTCCCCAGTGTATATCTGGCTCAATTTCATCAAAATGATGTGTCTCCAAATTAAAGAACCCCAATACCCACAAACTGCAGTGTGTGTTAGGAATGTCCATTTGAGTTGCAAGTACCCAGAGCTCATGTCTGCCAGAACACAAAGCTGGATTTTTGTGGATTTCCTGCAGCCAGTTGAGAGAAATAAACATGGTTTTCCAGCCAGAATCTTGTCTCACGTGTTGGTCATTTTCCCCTCTCTTACGCCTACTGTACTACTAATACAGCTTGAACTTTTCAACAGTAACAAACAAGACTGAATCCAGAGAAACAGGAAGTGTAAGTGAGATAATGTATGAGTGGCTACCATCGTCACTTTTATTGGTGCTTAATTATGGAAATAAGCATGCAAGTTATGAAGAGGCAAACTGATTTGTCACCGCGGTGAATCATGAAATGAAATGCTATCCAACAGTCTCCAGCTGAGATACAGTTATCTGACCAGCAGATGGCAGTGTGTGTTGTCTTGTTAAAGAACTGTTTACTAAAGCCATTCTCCACACCTTGTGCTGACCTGTAAATCTCCAGAGAGATTGTGAACAGGGTGATGGAGGTTTTGTTTTGAGGTGTGTGTGTGTGTGTGTGTGTGTATGTGTGCGTACGTGGGTTTCGAGGCCTCAGCCTGGTCTGTCTGCAGCTTGTGTCCTCCCTCCACCTCCATGGTGCAGTAAACAATCCTGTTTGGAGCCAATGACCTCAGACCCTGGACCTCCATGATGACCACCTGCAACACACACACACACACACATATATTTTATACATAATAAAGAAAAAAGAGGAAAATAAAGCCACCATCTGTCTTTCTTCTTTCAGTGGAGCTGATCAAACTGTTTGTATCTTTATGCTGTCAGACGACTGCATGAGTGTTGATTACATTTGAGGGTCTGTTAGCTGTGCTTAGCATTTATTAGCCACAATTAAATCATTGTATTCTACGTGTGCAGTTGTCTATCGTCACTGTATGGAAATAATAAGACACGTCTGGCTGTATTTTGAAACAGAGTTCTCTGAGCTTCTTCCAGCAGCTGATCACATTCCTCTCAGCTCAAAGACAGCAAACATCCAGAGGACAACAATGGGGACTGGAGCACACTGATTGATTTGCAGTCTTTACAAACAGACTAACATCTCCATCAGAGTGCAGATGGACCTGTGATGTGGTTGGCTGTCCTGAAACACTAAATAAGCCTTCAAAGAGCGAGTTGGTGGGCCAGCCTGGAGCTTCACCTTGCTGAGACCAAGCAGAGCATTTACCAGGTCAAACCACCTACAGATGGTGTATCCTAATATTTAGTTGACAACTGAAACAGGATGGAAAATAAGTGATTTAACCATGTGGGAGGGGGGGCTCTGTCCTTTTGTTTTGAAAATTCATGATTCATTAAATTCATTGTTTGTTTCAATGTGAACAACAAGCAAAACAAAACAACGCAGACACGAATATGATCTTTTTTTTACTGTTCGAGTGCGACTTACTTAACGTGCACATACGGTTCTGATGTGCGTCTATTCGTGCTGTTACGGTACCGTAAGGCAGGAGTTGCGTTTTTTTAAACTTAAAACATAACTATTTTCTGAGGAACACCTTCTAAAATAAATGAGAAAAACAACATGACAAAACAAAGGAGAGAAAATGAACTGGTGGGTGAATACATGTATGTTTTAAACATCCCACATCCCTCCTTCCATTTAACACTCATCCATTCAGTGCCGCTGCTAACACTTTGCTTTTACCTGATGATGATTGTCCTCGTGATATTCAAACCTTTCAAATGATGCCTGTTAATTTGACGTTTTTTATTTATGTGGATTCTTGAGGACATTTAGATACAAAAATCACCAACTTCATTTACGTACACTCTGGATTATCTTCAACGAATCAGCAGAACCACTCATCCTAGAAATAGATACTGTACATGACGGGCTGCTGAGATGTTCTGAGTTTTACATATCCTATGTTATATAACTTTTGCTTTTAATGAAAACTCTTGGGATCAACTGACCAGATAGTATATGTCATTACTTAGCAAAATAAAATGATTCTTTTGATGATGCTTGCCATTGTGGAGCTCCTGAACTTAAGAGAAACTACTTAGACGATGGTTTTGTAAATAATAAATGCATCTGTCCTTTTTACCTCAGATTTACAGACTTTGGGAAGTTATGGTTTCCTAGTTTAAAAAGTTTGCATCTGGTCTTCGAACTAGAAAACGGATGACTCAGCATTATGTCATCATAACAACTGTAGGTAGAGCGAGCGAGTGTTGAGTGCAATCAGTGCCCAGAGTAACTATTTATTTCTAGTTGAGTCAGCAGAAGAGTTGTGTTTAGTTGCTATCTTCAAAGCTGCTCAGCCTCGTACTGAGAACAGAGGAAGCTCTGTCTAGGTGTCTGCCTCCACCTCAGCTACTGAGTAACAGTACAAACATTTGAAACTGACCACACATAGTCAATCATCTGCAGGAAAGCAATGTGTTCATCAACATTTGTGAATGTCAACCCAATGCTCACTTTCAAATCTTGCAGATTGATGAAAGCTTGTCTGCTCTCTCAAGACTCTGGCATTAGTAAGCTTCCATACATTTGTCCAGTGGGGTTCATGTGGATATACTGAATGAGAGTAGCGTCCTGAAACTGAAGCCTGTCTTTAGTAAATGTCTACTGAGCCTTGTCAGACCCCCAACGACAGAAGCACAAGTTGTGGGCAGGTGCTGCCAGGCTTGTTCATTGAACAAAAGGTAGGATTTCTCCCAGCTCACTCACGTTATAAGTCTATACTCTCGAAGAGATGGAAAAGTGCTAGAAACCATCAACAGGGAGGCAGTAAACTAATCATGGTGCTGCTGGACTGTTGTGCTCCATGGATCCTTGTGGAGGATGAACAGGTATTGGTGGTAAGGCGATACTGGCCCCGTCTCCTTTACAACATGACCTGTCTGCCAATTAAGGTGAGGTTCAAACAGTCCGTCAGTCAGTAGGATTCCTGAGGGACGTCTCCTCTCATTAGCAGCTCCAGACGCTAGTCCTGAGAACCCATCCTGGGTTCATGGGATAAAAAAGCACTGCAGGTGGATTAATATGACAGTAAAATCAGAAGAAGAGCTTTATTTGCGGCTCTACTCCAGGTAACAGGAGCATGTCTCTGTATGTCTAAACCTGCCAGCTTCCCTGGACCATCCTGACAGTCGATACATTGCCTCTTCTCACACCTGTAAAATTTGCCTAAAACGCCTATCAGCTGCGTACCCAAAGTAAACTGACAACTCTTATTGAACCATTGGGAGTACATGTGTGGTTTTAGTCTCTATTGAACGGTAACACTCTAAAGTTTCTTCACAATCAGTCAGAATCACTGTAAGTGCTACTAGCATTGAGCTATGGAGTTTACAATACTGAAAAAGAAGGATTTTATTTCCGCCTGGATTCGTTTTGGCCAACAGATGGCAGCAGCTATCTATGGCTGGGACGTACAGGCCTGAAAAGACTCTCCTTCGACAGCCAACAGTCATGACACCTAGTATAAGTTAAAATTTGATAACAATACAACTGAAAATTAATATTTTACACGTGGTTTACTAAGAGTGCGGCCCTATAAAAACACATTTGAAGGCTCACGTCACCACGTCAAAATGCATATACTACGATAAACTACGTATCTGAAATTCAAACTAGTTTATTTATGTTGATGTATGGTTATCTATAACATATTTAACCATTGTCAACTTTCACAGATTCTTGAAAGTTCTCATGAACCAGACTTTGCTCTTGATAATCGGTCTCAGGTACCTCAGTCACGGTTTCAATTGCAGTTTTGAAAACTTTCCCAGGGGGCCATCTGATAAATCTGCATATCCTTGGCTTCGTAATTTCATTGGCTATATGGAGCCTGAGCCTGAGGATCTGTTTCCAATTGGCTTGAGCTTTACCCAAAGAAGAGAGGCGGGCATTGTCTTTCAAAGCGGACTCTCGTTGGCTGTTCCAGACTGTGACCGGGCTATAGAAGCTCCTATTGGGTCAAATGAGGTGTCAATCTAACCGGCGGAATGCAGCCTCCATTTTGCGGTGAAAATCTCCGCTCTGTTGACATGGAAAGTGAAATTATGCCCGAAATATGATCGCGAGTGAGTGGGGCCGTCAGAGTGGGATGAGGTTTTTAAGGGTGTTTATGTTACCACAGTGTAGAAATAGTAGAAATGTTTTCTGATCGCCACATGTGTTTGTGAAGACTATATGAATGCTGTACCTGACATTACAGCTATGTGGAGGTTTTGTGACCACAAGCACTAACTCTCCTTTCCCAATATGAAATAGGATGCAATGCTATCACGAGTCACCACTAGCTAGTGAGCCAGAAGGCTAACTATGGGATTGATCGATGACTTCTAACATTAGCTGGTACTGGCCCACTATGTTTCTAACATGCAGTTAAGTGTATGTAGGCCATAACTGCTAGCATTTCATTTTCATGGGTGTGACCTTTTGAGATATGATCTATAATTAAAGACTATCTTCCTATTCAAGTCTTTATAATTGTCATGTCGTCTAATGTTTCCTTTCAGGGAACTGTGAGTAACACCAGAAATGTTCTGCTCCCCAGAGGATGAATGCTCATCCAAACTATGAGTTAACAGATCAAACCAGGAGTTTACTGACTTTCTTCTAACCAGAAAGACCGCATCCTGACATATGTCCTCTATCTGCTAGTACACCAACATTGTTAATAAGTTAATGGAAGTCCACCGACCTCCAGGGTGAAGGACAGCACCACGTCAGACTTGGACAGCGTGTTCTCGTCCTCCTGGCCCATGTCCATGATGGAGGCGTTGTGACCTCGCTTCAGCTTCTGCAGCTTGAACTCTCCTCCCTTGGACACTGGCATGCTCTCCAGGTTGGCCATCAGCAGGTTGACCGAGGACCGCAGCTCCTCGATGAACATGGCCTCCATCTCTCTGGAGGCAAACCTGGGGAACCTTCCACCATGCTGACCAAAGTAGGAAGGCAGACAGTGAGCAAAATATCCTGCTAGAATAGCACCAGCTGTATAATCTGTGAACTCTATACTTTGACATGAGTTTAGAGTATACATGCAAATGAATCAGTTCATCATAAAACAAATGGAATACTGTAGAACTAAAACTTCAAGCACACTGTGAGACCCACGGGATCGCCCCTCATCCGGCCCGACATTACTGTCTTTAAGAGGCTGCAGGCTCCATTTTAAAGCAAGGATGAACTTTCAATCTATTTATTATATAATATACAGTATATTGCTATTATCTAAAACTAGAAGAACCAAGGCATGCACTGGCACCAACCATGTGGTACTAGCTTGTTGAGAAGGAGGCTAAATAATGAGGGAGGTTGAATGAAGATGGGTTCTGTGGAACCCACGAGTCACAGACCCACTGTACATAGATAGATGATAGATATCAACTGTATTCATCCCAGGGGGAGATTAGTTTGTAGCAGCAGCAATTTACAGAGTAAAATAAAAGAATGCACAATATATACAGTACAATAAGATAACAGAGCAGATATTGAATTTGAAGAAATAGAATGATAATAAATAAGATAAAATAGAATAAAAAATAAGAATGCACAGTATATACAATGGATTAGAATGGTATTAAATGAACTAAATGAACTAAACAGTAGAGCAAGGATCACCAACAAGCAACAACCGTGTAGCCTTGTAGTCATATGAAGGATGATAATCATATGCTTCACATGACTACATGATAATCATATGCTTCACATGACTACATGATAATCATATCCTTCACATGACTACATGATAATCATATCCTTCACATGACTACATGATAATCATATGCTTCATATGACTACATGATAATCATATGCTTCATATGACTACATGATAATCATATGCTTCATATGACTACATGATAATCATATGCTTCACATGACTACATGATAATCATATGCTTCACATGACTACATGATAATCATATGCTTCATATGACTACATGATAATCATATGCTTCACATGACTACATGATAATCATATGCTTCATATGACTACATGATAATCGTAAATGTCTTTTATTATTTCAATATTTTAGCATACTGGGGCCTTAAACAGTCTTGGACTTAATAATTAATAACTCAATAATTAGATTGAGTTTGACTGGTTATGCTGAGACCATGTTTCAATGAATGAGCTGTTGTAACCTTTATGACAATCACAGCCTCATGAAACTTGACAAGCACAAGCTAGAGAGCGAGAGCATCCAGACAGTGTACTGCTTTACTATGTATATTGACATTAAGGGCCTTTCTGAGACGTTTCCATAACAGAGGTGCTCGCCATTCAATTGCAGAAAAATATGATTCTTTTAGAAATCTCCAAATAAGAAAAGACTTCGATACCACATCTATGTGCTATCTACAGTTGACCTGCTATCTCCCCCTAAATACCCCCTGCCCCCCCTGAAACACATACAAAGGTCTATATTACAGTGATGTTAAGTGCTTGATATTTAATAATTAGTACTCTTTCATATATTCAAAGTTAGTTAAGTCCATCCATCCGTCCTCGTCCCTTACCCGAGCTATCTGGTCTGCCATTTGCAGTCGTCCGTCCAGCTCTCTTCTGATCTGTGCTGCCTGCTCATCAGGGTTGTCCAGCTGGAGAAACACATACAGACACAGTGTACTTCACAAGCTCAACCACAACAATGTATATGAGTAATTAGTACAACAACAACTAAGGTGAACTAGATACCGATGCAGTTTATAAGTAAATCATCACCCATCATTCAGCTGAACCAGGATATGCCATGCAGTTACAATAGCACCTTGCTGTTCACATTCAAGCACGCCGCTATTTACATTCTCACTGAGCTAAATATGTTTTATATTAATATGTATTCATTATCTAATACACTAAGCATTAGGCATACAGTTAATTGTCAAACTTCTTTTTTTTTAACCATACTTATATACTAAACATGTAAAATGTATCTGCAAATTATTATTGTCAGCGCTTTTCATTTGTTTTCTGTTCTACACTAGCTCACAGCAGCACGCTTCATGTATCGGTGCTTGTGTTTTAGAGGTACCACTAGTAGTGCTCTGGAGCAATTATCATCGTGCATGTGCACTTAGTATTAAATTCAGAAGGGAACAACAGCCCTGTGAAGTGTTACTTAACTGACACCTACCAGACAGATATAAAATATTGTATTCATTTACTGCTGAAATGACAACTTTTCTATGTGCAACACGAACACCTATAAGACTGCTCAACTCTAACAGCTCTCCATCCGGCTGCTTTATCATTTTAAAAAGAATTCATTATTTAGAATTGCATTGAGTGAACAGATTGATTACTTCGGTGGAAGAAACTTGATGACTGACCAGGAAACATAAGCCATAAGCATATGTTTATGTTAGATAGATCGTTTAATTTAAAACTAATACAATGGCTAAATACAACATGAGATTAAAAACATATTCCCCTTAAAAGAACCTTGTTTATTCTGGCTGATGTCATGATCAATGGTACTGTGAGGGTGTCAAGAAATATTCAAAAAATAAAAGATAGGGTCCAATGATTCTAAATGATAAAAGTTCAGTCAGGAATAGGCGTGGTTTTATATTATAGCTAAATAGAAACAGCATGGTCACACTCATGAGAACATGCAACAATTAAGATGAGTGTGTCTGGTGGAATAGTGGCATTCACCTTGAGACTTTTACAGATTTGACCTCCAGCCCACTGGCTGGCTGCTCCATATTGTTGGTGAAAGCCCCGTATCAGAATGGTATTTAGTGGAGGACCGCTGAGAGGACCTAATGACACACACTTGTCTCACTATCACTGATTGATGAGCACAACTTAAACATTCATGGGCCTGTTTCTCTACCAACTCATCACAGGGTGCAGTTGGGTTGCCAGGGTTTGTTTCTCCAAATCATTTTATGTTTTTTAGATTGTGTTACATAAAAAACTCTTGTTCTGACAATGGTTTTTCTTCTCAAAAGGCTGTGTTACCTAGAAGCAGGGAGATGAATGTCCTTTGGGGGATATTACTGCCACCGTATTTGAATACCTTCCCTTTCCAGCTGGCGAGAGAAGCCTCGCTGTGTACAGAGGCCTGTGATGCAGAACAGAGAGCAGCAATCGATCTGATAACCATGTGAGATTGATCAGGCTGCAGGACCAATACTCCCTCTGCTGCCATGCCTGCTGAGTAGAAGGAGCTGCAGCAGGCTAAAGTCTGGTTCATGCTCGCACTAGTGTCCCCGCGCCAGAAAAAAATGTCGTCATCACGTATTCTACGTAAAGTTTCTCTGCACAGTAATGCAACAGATGACTTAAGAATGCATCTGAGATGCCTCCTGTATAGACAACATGTCCCACTCCTGCTGCTTTCCATTAAGAGAAATCCAACAGTGAACCGGCGGGGGGCTATTATTGTGCTGAAGTTATAGGAAATGCAATGCATTTGTCACAGAGTCAGGGCAGCTCTGTCAGCAGCACTATTGTCCCATGTTAAATGGTCAAGATATGGAGACAGTTGATGCTTGTTGGTCTGTGGATCCGTTTTTACCTTCAACTTATTTTACCTCACCATAGAATACAATTTACAAAGAGGTCACACTTGTTCATTGCTCAGCTCGATGGCCTATTGAATCATCGTATTAGTGGCCTCCCATACTAATGCTAATCTCAGATGTTTCAAATAGTCGGCTCTAGTCAGCTGCATTGATATTCAGAGCATTAATATAGCAGCAATAGATATGCTCCAGGTCAAGCATCTTCAAGGACTCTTCATTCTCAGCAGCTGTAGCAGTGACAGACACAGAAGTAGAAAGAAGAACAGGCAAGTACAGAAGGCTCTCTCACCCTCTCACCCGCCTGACCTTGCCATTGACTTTCTCCCACTTTCTGCATTAACATCTTGCCAGAACACCCACCCCTGCTGTTACCACTGACTGAGGAGCATGGCACACACACACACACACACACACCGTGATATGCATCACAGAATAAACACGTCAAAAGTTGTGGAGAGCATTTTTGTGTGTGAACTCCCATGTTGTTATTTTCTATCACACACATGCTTTACTATATGCTGCAAAGTTTCACATATTCACATTATAAACAAGCAGCATAGCTTTGAAGACTGAAACCAAAACTAGTATTATCAAACAGTGTTTGCCTCTTTTTAGGTGGCAGGAGTGACAATGAGTCATCCTCAAGCTTTGTTGTGTTCCGGTTCAAGAATGATGAAGACAGTTGGAGAACAATTAATACAAAATGGGATGTCAACAGTTTCTTTCCTTGGCCACTATCATGTTTTTCCCAAATGATGCACAAATCTTCAGGCATTGCTGCTCCTCTGTCTCATGTGGTGCTGAACACAGAGCTCTGGTAAAGTAACTGTCCTTTAATCAGGAGAGACAAGTCAGATGAAGAAAAGATAATTGTTTATTACCAACAGATGATGTGGGACGATAAGTCTTGACAGAGTCTTTGGCGCTTGGACTCTACAGGGAGATATTTGTCATGGAGAGGCGTCTGCCCTGACCCCCCCCCCCCCCCGTGGAGTCCAGACACTGGTGGTGGTGGTGGCTGATGAGGCTGATAGAATGATGAGTTGATGAAGATGATGAAGACTGGGAGGAGATGGGGAGGTGGAGGGTTGCGTAACAGCAGCATGAACGTACTGAAGGTAGACAGACGATCATATTTAAAGAGACAGCAGCAAGATGACGATAGGACAACGATGTCATTGTGTCCTTGTGCTATTGGATAGAAGAGACCAGCTGATCTAAACAGCTGATATCATGATTGACAGCCCCAAACAATAACAAGGAAATAATGAGTGAGCATGTGTGAGGAGTGATGGCAGATGTTTGAGAAATAAACTACAGGCTTATGCATGCAAGAGTATAGTCTTCCTGTCTGAACTTACGCTAGAGCTTCATATCTTTCTCATTGGTGTTTCTCTTTCTCTCCCTCGCTCACTGTCTCACATATCATGTGTGTCAACTGTCACACTCGCAAATCAGTAAATTACAAAACAGCGACTTCACCCTCCTCTATGCTCATTGCACTGTCCCAAATGTGGTCGTCCCTGTTTGACATGATACCTGATGTCTTTAGTTATGAACACAAAGGCACGAAGCATCTTTCAGTTCCTGTGATAGTTCCTGAGAAAGGGCAGCTCAGTGAAGTGCATTAAACCCCTCCACCAAATATTTAGCTCTCTGTTGAGTCTTGATCAGCGGGGAACAAAAAGGGAGTGCGTTGAAAACCTCCAAAACAGCAGAGCCAGTTACTCTGCTGTCCCTGGGTATCTGCAAATGAATTCCCTCTAGCAGAGCCTTTTCCTCCTGACTGAGCTCAGCTCCACTGCTTCTCACAGAGTCTTTTCAGAAAGAAAACATCTGTCCTTTAAGAAGGGACCAATGCCAACAGCGGTGTACGCCTCAGTTTGTATGTGAGCTGAGATGTCAACAGACGGTAGTGGAAGCCATTCATTGAACAGTACTGGACACATCTTTTCCTTCTCAGTGAACCCTTACAAAGAAAAAATGAGACAAACAAACGACAGCATCGCTGGATTCAGAGAATGCTTTATGTTTAAGTTCTAGCTGCCATAAGAATGATGACGTATGTCCATCAGGAGCAAAATAACTCTGCAGAGGTCTAGAGGTCGAAGTGGACAAACAGCCCAGTCGGCAGGAACTAATGGTGGCATCGTCAGTTTTTGCAAACTATGGATACTGTTTTTCTTTTCTGTGCGCTGCTCATTGTTTACAGTCCGATTAGCAACATGAGATAAAAGACTGGCTTTGGAGTTCAGTTCCCACGTGCACAACAAGGTTGTATCACAAGTAGCCGGTTCATTTTAAGCTAATACAAAGAGAAATGATCCCAGCAGTTCAGCCGATGCATTCTGCTTCTTTTGCACTCCACACGGACTATTTACCTGCATTCAACCAAAGCCTGCTCAACCATGATTGGTCAATACCAGTCGGAATACAAACGGAAACCACAACCATGTCCCGTTGCCTGCTGATTCTACATGTGAATACGGAATGTGATACATTAACTTCTGGAGTTTGTGCAGGCGTGACACGAGGCTGGTATGAAACATGTGTCTGATTGAGAGGTAGAGGGTTTAACGGATCCAGTGGTTTGCAGAAACATACAACATTGTTTTGGGTGACTGGGTAGCAACAAAACATCAGACTTTAACAAGGCAGCTGTTTCCTATTTCCAACAGCCAAGGCTGGTTTCCTTTAATCATGACTACGATAGTCCCCTAACCTTCACCACCGGTCTAGCATTGTAGCCGCGACAACGGAGGTCCCATAACCTTAGAAACCGCTGACTAAGTAATAATTGTAAGCCATGATCTTTGTTATATGTTAGAACAATCGTGTTGTCAGATCATCAAACCTAAACATTTAATGTTCTGTAGGCAGGGTTTCTACTCAAGCTCTCTCTCTTCATTCATTTTCTGTCACTTTTCATGTGAACAGCTAAACCAAGAGATGATATTATCTATTAAAGCCCAGCCTAACCCCACCTAACAACATGGAGTCTTCCCTTCATCAGAGCTACTGGTGTCTGCTCTCTGTCTCTGTCATGCTGGACGAGCGTTTGAGGA